ATAATGTAATGTACGAAAATAACCAAAAGTTGATAAATTGTCTGTCAGGCTAGAAAATCATGTTTATCCCTTATTTTCTATCCTGAATGACACTTCATTTTTTTGCCAGAGATCAATGTTATCCGTGCATTTCGGCTGAACCATCAAACTAGAACCAAAATGTTTATCATTTTAACGTTCCTGTTATATGGGATCATGAGCAGCCTAGGATCAGAGTTCACAGTTAACTTCGTGCCTTCGTCTTTATCTATTCAACTGGGTGACCAAAAAGTGACAAACGTGAGCTTCAAGTGAGTTTCGTTATTCTCTCTCCAGAACAAATATTTCACTCAACGACATCAGGAAACGGAAATTACTGTAGATGGTGTTTCCGCCACTGTTGAAGCATTATAGATGCGAAGGCTTCAATCGACCTACCTATAGGGCACAGGAAAACTCGTGAGCTAGTCATTTGTGGTCTGATTGAGTATTCTAGGTTATTCTAACTATCTGATAAAGTTTCCTTCACCTTTCAGGACCGAATGCAAGTGTTTTTAAATGAGCTGTGATATTCAAGTAAACTGCTTTGTTCGAAGATCTTCGTTTGGTACGCTGACTTTTATCTTGCTAAGTAGCTGCCTTCCACAGGCGTGTTTGGCGAGTTTTACATCTGAATGTTTGTTTCAACTTTCACTGTCAAGTTTGCGATCCGAAGTGGCAGGGACCACTTGAATTCATTCCGGAACTATGATGGCACACTTCGAAAGTATCATGTCACCCAAAGTCAAGTTTGCGATCCGAAGTGGCAGGGACCACTTGAATTCATTCCGGAACTATGATGGCACACTTCGAAAGTACCATGTCACCCAAAATAAACATGCTGGGTGCATTGAAATGCTGTCAACAGTACTGACACTAATAATTAAAGTATTACGAGTAAGGTTTAAGTCGTCTTTGTTCGGTTGCGTTCTCACTTGGTAGTTTTCTATAAAAACTGCTGGAATAAAATTCATCAGCGAAGCCACCGTATACGCTCTTTCTCTTCCCGAAAAACTTATCAAATTTGTGTCTTCCGTATGCAGTAATACCATAAGGCTTGTACTAATTGTTTATGTTTTGTGGTCACCACCCTTGCTGATGCTTCCCACAATCCGGACTTTTATCACATTTTTTACACATAGTGCTCCGTCTCCAGAACAGCTCACTTTTGAATTCACTTATCGCGATTCCAATGGTGATTATATGACTGACGCGAATGCCACAGCTGTGAAACCTCTCGACCCGCTTGTTGTCCCTCCTGGATACCAAGGTCCAATCAGTATCCAGATTGTTGCCGCCCATCCTGGCCGTGTTTATTTGGGATTGAATAAAACTCAGGGTTCCACAAAAATTCCCAAGTAAGTGATCTCTTTCTCTACGTTGGTTACGGATTCCCGTCAGTTCTCATCAGTCATCTTTCTCCATCATTGCCAGGACTTGTTTCAACATGTTTTTGGCCGAAATTGCGATCTTTTCAGGCGGGTCCCAATCTCGCGCGGGTGTTTCCTCGACTAGTGATGAAACCTTTGCAATCCAAATTCCAAGTTCGTTAGACAAGCGAGCAACCACCCTTTGTTGTCACTTACCGTAGGACCGCCCAACTTATGCTAGCAGGCCAATCTTACTGTCAATTATCCTACTTTATGGCAACTTTCTCCTGGAGGAGGACGGGTCGGCTTCAGGAGCATACTTAATTGCTGAAGGGTCGGTAGCATAATTGGGCATAATGGAGTAGATGCCTGCGGTGACTCCAGGGTCACACCATTTCTGTTCGAGGATGCAGCGCTAGCCTTTGTATAATCAAGTGCAGACTATAAGGAGGATGTTACGATCAAGACCGTCAAGCAGGCTATAGGTTCTGAGGTTGATCTCACCTACCCACTCCATCAGTTCTGGCGTCTGTTCGGGTTCACTTCTTTAATCCTTGTCCTCCCAAGTGCTGCCCACAGGGCACCTTTGTTACGTTACTACTGGTGGCCGTCATACTATTGGTAGTCCCGATGAGTAGCACTGAGCAATAAGTAGGAGTCATAGATCTCCTCGTCACATGTGGAACCTTTTTATGGTGGAGTGCTTCCCACCATTGTCGCCATTTTCTCTATATGGTATTCTGTGCGGGGGCCTGGGTTGCCAACTTAGAATCCATTATATCCTCGTGCCACCACAGCCAGAACCCCGTTAGCCTATGTGCATCAGCTGTCATTTCATAATTATCACTGTTGCGCGACTGTGACTGGAGGACTTTGCAAGTTTCTTGTTCCTTCTGACCGAAAATATTTTACTTTCAACAATCTAGACCTGTACTCCACACGTCTCATTACTACCTTGCATATCAACTTGATTGTTTCACAAGTGGAATCGGGTGCGTTTAAAAAGCGGAATGTTGTGCAGCCTCACGTGAGCGGTACACTTCAGATGCCATTAATCAGGCAGCTACGTTTAAAAAGCGGAATGTTGTGCAGCCTCACGTGAGCGGTACACTTCAGATGCCATTAATCAGGCAGCTGCATGGGTTAATTTCATTAATACTTCTAATTGGTCGTGAATTCCTGAGAGTTTTCCTTAAACTGAGTCGCTATTCTGTTAATACCAGCTTATTCGTCGTTTGACCATCTCTATCAGTGTTGTTTATCAGCTGCCAATGTCGTGTGCTAACGTCTCGCTTGTTGATGATCCGCGTTCCACACCGAAGTGGAAATCGTAGTATCTCATCCGTAGCACGTTTCCTTAGACAACATGTATCAAGCCTTTCAGTTTTCGCTCAACCCGAACGTTCTCATCCCTCTACTTGTTATTCCAATTATCTGCAGCTTGGATCGCGTTGTTTGTGATGTGTTGGTGATGCATCTTCAATGGCTGGAAGTCTTGCAAATCGTTGTGGGTTGGTTGTATTTCATCGCGTGGACCGTATCGTTTTACCCCCAGGTATATCTTAACTGGAGACGGAAGAGGTAAGTACACGCTAAAAACTTTCTGAGTTGACTTGGCCTTTGCATGACAAATTATTGTTTGAGCGTTCACAAATTTTTCGTCATTTGTGCAAAAATGCCGACCTGGTCAAGTGCATAAACAACCGGAATGTAGGACAAGACCTTTGAGCAGACCAGGTTTCAACTTACTTCGTGTGCATCAGCGGACCGCATCTAAAGAGTGCCTCAGTTGCATCCTCTGTTCGACGTAGAGGATTGCAAGCCCTACATATTCATCCCTATAGGACATTTTTGCATATAGGAAAAGCTGATCATCTATGTTGAACTACCGGTTAAGTTTAGAAAACAATCTCTATATATACTATCACTTCGAAAGGTGACTGTGGACTACGTAATTCTTAGATTTTCATCGTTTAACTTAATGCTAAGGAGCACAGTATTTAAGCTGACGCGTTTTTTCGTTACTAGAAGTTGCATGAACTCTATTCTCTGTCTGTTTATTTTAGCGTCGTTGGCCTGAATCTGGATTTTTTGTGTCTCAACATTGTTGGATTCTTCGTCTACAGTATTTTCAACCTGGCTGTTTACTTAAGTCCAGTGATTCGAGTAAGTAAACGGGGGCGAGTTTCGTCTCATTCGTAAGTTTGATTAACGTGGCACTCTTCCAGGGATTCCACTTTAGTGTGGACACCAAAGCAGTCCTCGTAGATGTCCAACGCATGCTTGTGCGCGTTGTAACTGTTGCGTCTTTCCCGTCAATTTCGACGTGCCAGCACGAAATTTATATCGCCGTTTGCAATAGTTTCCTTCATGTCGATCACCTGTCGACTAGTCAGTGAGATTACAACAATTCCACTGCGTGTGTATACGTCATTCAGCGGATGTGCAGAAAAGGTCTCTGTTCGTAGCACGGACGGTAGTGTGGCGATCGAAAACCATTTTGTTTAGCTGGTCTATGCCAGACAACACCAGATCACTTGTGTGGCACCGCCTATTGCCTATGAACATACACTTAACCGCAGATCAGCCGAATGATATGATGTTCGATCTCCTAACTGAAAGGCGTGTGACTTCAAACTTTTCAAATGATTTGCAAGATGTGCACTGGTGGTGGCTCTTAGCAAGGACAAAAACAACTCTACAGTGTTTCGAGGATTCTCAGGACAGAGTGCATTTCTTTACAGAAAGAAATCGAGGTCTAACTGCAAAATATCCTCACTATTTGTAAATCGTAAGACATCACCATTTGAACGTATGGGACAGGTGATGTTCTAGAGAGATATGTCTGTTTATTGAATCGCTTTTTTAACTGGGTTTAAATTTGCCGTCCTTTGAGGCCCAACAGAGTCTGACTATCTGGAAAAAGCTGGACTGAGATGGTCTGAACCGTTGCAGTTTCGTTCATTGGGAAATATTGAAGTTGTAAAGAAAGCCAAACGGGGTGTCAGCTGTAATCACTGAAGTTTTGATCCAGTTTACATGGCATATGGTTGATGAGCTCGTGTTTGTATTGACTGGGAGATTAATGCTAGTTTATATTCATGAAGTTTATGAGGTACCCAACTACGCTATTTTTGTCGGTGTTTGTAACCATTAGTTTAGTAGTTCTGGTGTCCCCACCCAAATGAATCAAACCTGCTAATAGTGGCCAGTGATTTGCTGCCAAGTCGTGACTTGACCTCTTGACCGTCTCAACTGGATATATAGTTGGTTGGAATGTGCTCTGCCAGGAAGATGGCTTTCGAAGAGTGTGACCAAGAAAGCTAAATTTGTGATACCATCTCAACTATCACCTGTTCCGTCTCCCATTTGCTTATTCTCGTCGTTGCACATTCAGTGTTTCTGCCCTCGCCACTAGCCTAAATATATGGTGCTGCCAGTCAAGTGGAGGGGAAAGGCCGTACGGGGAGCAGTACAACTATATCTGTCCCCACCCAAATGAATCAAACCTGCTAATAGTGGCCAGTGATTTGCTGCCAAGTCGTGACTTGACCTCTTGACCGTCTCAACTGGATATATAGTTGGTTGGAATGTGCTCTGCCAGGAAGATGGCTTTCGAAGAGTGTGACCAAGAAAGCTAAATTTGTGATACCATCTCAACTATCACCTGTTCCGTCTCCCATTTGCTTATTCTCGTCGTTGCACATTCAGTGTTTCTGCCCTCGCCACTAGCCTAAATATATGGCGTTGCCAGTCAGACTGTTGGTGCTACGACCACATGAACTGCTAATCTCTGATTGTTCCATATTTACTTTCTGGATAGGTTTTAGTCCCAGTAAACGAAGTTTCGACCGATGCAGTCATTTCAGGTTTCGAGCTCGACAACTGTGTCAATCTGGCAGCTTTTTCTCTGGTAGGAAAGTTAATGTAGTCCTTTTTTTATTTATTCATTCCCTACCTGAAGCCACAAACCAAACGAGACCATGTCCGCTCACCAAGGAATAAAGAGGTTTTTATCAGACTACAGTTCAAAGACTCTTAGTCACAAACCACGGGTCGTAATCTGCAGTAGCTCTTCATTCAATTCTGCTGTCAGCGATGTGGCAAATCAACAGTCGAAGCGAAATGCTTATTACACCCAACGTTTTTGCTTCCCTTCTACACCAATTCACGGTTGCCGTTACAGTACATATCGAAGCTCATGAGGAAGCGTGCCGCAGCAGTCGCTGCAGTATCAACTTGGCATGGTCCATGGAGCGATGTTGACCAATCGATACCCATGAAGCATGAATGCATAGGTAATCTTGAAAGAAACCAGGAGCTTGCCTCAGGACGAAGAACCAGGTTGATTTTTGTTCTTAGTGATGTTGAAGATATTTTTATGGAATGTATCCATGTTAACAAAGAAACACGCGAGTTTGCCTGCGATTGGTCTCAGTCGCACCTCATCAGTTAAGTGCGAAGATAAAATAGAAAACTAGGTTAAAATAGTGTACAGTGCTGCTATACCATTTGTATAAAAAGCGGCGCTATCTTTTATGTGGTGAGGAACTCCTTGGGGCCAAGTCAAGTCAGACTTCCTCATGTCTCTTGCTTGCTTAGAGGGAGGTCACCTATCCGAGTGACGATTTTTGATGTTCTTTTGAATATTTAGCTCGTCTTTAGTATTTTGGCAGTAAAAATCGAATAGGTTGATTAGGGATGGAAAAACATAGAGGATTAGCGCTTTTCATGACTCGACGTATCTGATTCCGAGTACTTTGCTCTTGATGAGTGTCACTCATCGTGATCAAAACATTTAATCGTGGGAAAACTGTTATCTTCGTTGTGTTTTCCACCACTAATCAACCCAAACAAATGCCACACAACACAGTCTAGTCGAACTCGTTCGTACGGAGTACGGCGCAAATATTCTGTCGTAAAATCGAATAGCACCACGCAGCCCTTGTCGTCTTGATATTTGTTTAGTGTTTCGACTGTGACTGGTGTTTCAAACTAGCTTTGAGGATTTTATTCGATGTCACCGAGCATCTCCATCGTCTCCGTTTTTTATTCGCGCTCTATGCATGGGTTGATTGGATTTATTCAATAATTCAACGGTAATTCCCCGCGAAGGTGACGGATATCCATACTGATGTAGGGGATGCCAGTTTTCTTTCCGTTTTCCTTTCAACAAGTTTTGTCTTTGGAGTATTATTCGGAAGCAGCATCTTGCGGCAGGCAACATAGTATTGTTGGAGTATAACTTCTCAAGGTCCTCCGTATCGCTAAACACCGAATGTTTCAAATCCGAATAGAAGTCTATAAAACACCTACTCCCATCCAACTAATTTGAATTCGCCTATCGCCTCATCTTGGCGAGGGACGAGGGATTGCTTGTAGCAACGTTTATCCCGTCTATTTTTATATTTATTCACCGTCACTCGAACTGTGAATCCTGTTTAGTCCTCACTAGACAGTAGGAGCGTGTTGGTTCTCATCTCTTCTACATGTTGCTTTCATATCACAAGAAAAACAGGAGTTGAACTTTTTGTAATGTACTACTCATAAGGTTGCTGAAAACCTATCGACAGCCCACGACCGGTTTCGCCCTTCTTGGGGCTCATCAGGGAGGCGCAGTCCACGGGTTTCTGTCAATCTTATGCCTGAGAACATCGTTAACGAGAGATTCAGCTGGGTTCCAGGTGAGTCTCTCGAAAGAACCAAATTAGTTTGCAGATGAGTGTATATTTGCTAAAAGGAGTTGAACTTTGTTATCATTACTGTTGTCCCAGTGCGACGGGTGAACATGTTAGTGTCCGGACGACGATCAAATGACTGTGTTGATTGTTCCGGTTGTTGATGCACTTGCGATGCACTTACGGTTCGTGAATGCTCAGACGCTTTGGAGATGTGAACCGATTTTCCAGCTTATCCTAACTCCAGAGCATCTTTTACGATGATGCCATTTTCGCCTCAATGAATGTCGATTTGCAGTGCGTCTTCCGTGGTGCTTCTTCTTTCACTCTTTCTCCTCTGTCTATTTCGGTCCTCTAGGCTCAGTATGCGGCCATTTATCCCATCGGCGTTATTCCCGTCATGGAGAACGATATATTCTTTTCCGTGCATGCTTTTTGTATCTCCGTATTCACTGGATTTCAGGTGTTCATGTACGAGGTAGGTGGTGGTGTTTACAATACGAGCTTGTTTTCCTTGGTCGCCTGTCTGTGAACATGTGCTGTTTGGCTGTATCAGTGTTTTGGAGTTTTTGACCTAGCAGTAGGTGCACTGAGTGCATCACTAAATGCGTTTCTTTACAACTGCACTTCTAGGTCAACCCTAATCAGTCCTAAGTCTTGTTCTCAGTCTTTTGATCTCCGAATCTTCTCACCTTGGTCCCGTTCAGTGTACATTACAACCATTTGAAATGTAGTAGAATCTATCAAATTAAACCGGGCTACCTACCGTCACAGATGTATCGTAAACAGGCAATGGGAATATCTTCGCAACGATTGATTTCTTCGTTCGTTATCCCACTCCTTATGGAACCTTAACTGTT